TGGTTTCCCGGGATAAATTTGAACAAGGCGAAGGCGACAAAGCATGCAGAATTTAATGACGTCATAAAAATAAGGTACCCAGAAGCTCAATCACAAAGCACTTATTGGACACGGGCCATACGGTGGACCAAATGGTTGCATTCAAGGTCCTGTTTCGGGCGACGACCGGGCGTCTCTTGCGCTTTGCAGAGGCCGCTGCAATACGGAGGAGGAAACCAGAACTCTGTAAGCAGCTGGACCATGTGATAAACCTGGCACTGCCATGGTAATTATCGATTATGGACGAAATCCTGTTCCCATGTCCGCCCTCTCATTTCGCCCCCACCCGCCCCCCACCCTCTCCCCGGCATGATGAATGCTCCCCGCACGTTGCACTCCAAATCACGCCGCACCAGTTCTCTCTCATACTTGGATGACTTCTCTCTCCCCTCCCCCCTCACCATATGCACCCGCATACTAGACCCACGTTTCAGGTTACCTATCACGTTTAAGCTCTCTAGGTCGATCGTTGATTGAACAGTTTTGCCTTGTAAATAACTATGCAATGACCGTACGCAGCTGAATGAGAGGTCCCGAAATTTATGACGTCATTAAATTCTGCATGCTTTGTCGCCTTCGCCTTGTTCAAATTACTGTCTATGCTTCAGTTAGGTTTGATTTTCCGGAAACTTATTGCCCCAAAATGCGTCGCACACTGGCATTCACATTGGCTCCCACAGACAACTGAAATCATACCAATTTTTCTTTAGCACAGCCGTTCATAGACGGACTACTGTACAATGCTCTTAATAATGCTTGTGTTTCCCGCTTGGGAAATTTTCTTGATCTATACGGTTTCGATAATTCTTCTAAAACTGTTAATTTTTCCTCTTCTAAATTTGTAATATAGTTTTCTTCCTAATAACAGGAATAAAAGACGTTCGATTGCACATCCTGACGGCGGCAGAAGAAATAGAACTAACCTCTACGTTGGATGTTTACGCAGAGTCGTGAGGAACAGGCCATCGCGTAAACAGTTTTTTCAGTCGCTCCACCAAAGTATGAAGCGTTTCCGTGTGTCGCAGGCAATATTGAAGTTGCTGCAATTGAAGGAATCAAAAGTAATTTTATGCTGAATTCGAAAACGTATTTCAGGAGACCCGGAAGTATGCTTATTCTCCAATATGCAAAACGATCTCAAATCCTGTCGGCAAAGGCAGACTATGTGGCAGCTAAAACAGCTTGAGTAATTTCACCGTCTAAAAGCATGATGGCTGCAGTCAGTGAAAACGTGAAATTATAAGTCGGATTAGGCAGCCTAGGCCGATTGGCATTTTTATAAACTTGACGATAGCCCGACTGGCCACAAAGTCTGTCTCTCGTGGAGAAGAGTATGTTGGTAAAATATGAGGTGCTCGGTTGGTAGCCGGCCACCTGAGCGTTGCTTCGACATATAGGAAGTCTGGCACTTTATGCTTTAATCGAGTTTTATTAATTAGACGGTACAGTAGGGATCAGTTAAACTGATATTTAGTCCAACTTTTGGCCGGATACATAAAAATGGGATTTTGCGCTAGCTCCTGTTGTCAAAGTCTGTGATAATGACAAAAGCTAGCTGCTAATTTGTAAGAATGTTATTACCGACAAAGACTATGGAGAATGCATTGGATTTTTCCGGGTTATTGGCCGTCATCATACGCTATCTCATGGTGTGGAACACCTGGGGCTCGGTCCAGCGACCTGTTAGTTAGAACTCCAACGCCTCTAACTACTGAGCCATGGGCTTGTCGTCCTGTCGGTTGCGATCGCGAATTTACGGCAGTAGAATGCCAGAAGACGAGGAAACGATCACTGCTGCCAGGAGTTTGTTATTGCATGATGCCTGAAGTAAGTGAGAACCCTCAGTTATAAGTCGGATTTGACATCAGAATCCGACTACCATTTTTTTGAACTTGACGGAAAACTTACTGGCTAAAACGTCTGTCCATCGTAGAGAAGATCATGTTGAAAAAAAATTTCCCGGAAGGTGGCCGGACATATGAATATTGGCTTACGCAACCTAGAGGGACGGATGGGCCGGCATGTAAACGCACAGTGCGTGACTGATCTCAGGACATGTTGGCCGAAATTTTCAAATGTGTATTTTGTTGGAAAATTTCTCAGTTATAGTTGTAATATTGATTATCACGCGATTAAATCCTAAGGTTTTCTACACATGCCAGGATGTGAGCCTTTGAATGTACTTCTTTATGACCTTCTACAGAAATTTCACTCGGTATTAAATGCCTGTTTAAGTGGCATGCATTTTTCACGTCGATTTTCGGTAATCTTATACATTAAAATATAATTCATCAAAACATGCACAACATATGCTTTCTTTTACTTTTTTGGTAAACAATCATATTGTCTTCACTTTTTATACTCGAAAAAATTGTGTATTTAAGTTTTGAATAAAATTTCCCAATTGCCAAGTAATTTTGAGCTTGATCAGCCGTTGCTTTAGCGGCTAGCGATTTCACTTTACAATTTGCCTGCTTTCTGCGCAAGGAAAGCATAGATTCCTCTATGTATTTAACAGGAGGTCATCAAAAGTTAGCAAAATCCTGCAATGCGTGCAGACTAAATTGCCCATGTAATAAGAAAATTTGGTAAACGGACAGGTACGGTACTGTATGAATACACTTTGCAAGGTCTTAGAAATTATCACAATTAGAAACCTTGAAAAACCAAAAGATACTAATCTAAGGGTATGAAATATGAAGATAATATAATTATTTACCCAAAAAGTAAAAGAAAGCAGATTTAAATTTATAAAACCATAGAAAATCGATTCGATGAATGCCTTCTACTTACGCAGTCATTTTTACCGAGTGTAGTCTCTGTAGGTTGTCGAAAGTGAGTGCATTCAAAGGTCGACATCCTGGCGACCGAAACATACTATAGGATCATGCCGCATGATAGTCAATTTTACGGCCCTATCTATGACATTCTTCGTGATCGAAAACAGATGTCACAATTTCGGCTAGCAATTCATCAGATCATTCACTCACTGTAGGTCTCAGACAGACGGAAACATTGGTTCTTCATTATTACTCGACTTTCATAAATTTAACGCTATGTTAGAATGCAGTTTAGCATGATATTTTGTCGAAGTTTGAGCCGAATACATACAAATAAGTTCTGTGCTTTTAACGGTTGAGGGAATGACAAAGGGAAACCGTAATATGCAGAATTTCATAAACGACAAAGTCGAAGAAGACCGGAAAGGCCTTTTCTGGCCTATTAACCGTCGTCAGCCAGTCATACCCAATCCCCGAATGTGTAGAACCTGAAGCTCGAACTCGCGACCTGTCAGTTAGAAGTTCAACGCCTCTAACCACTGAGCCACGAGCTCGGTGGCCTGTCGGTCGCAATCAGGAATGTACAATGGTAGAAGGGCCGAGCTCTAAGTGTTCCGCACTTCGGGGTCGGATATGACTGACTGACGACGGCCAATAAGCCAGAAATGGCCAGTCCCGACTCTCGTGTCTTTATCGGTAATGCCATTCTGCCTGCATCATGCGCCGCCTTGCGGCTGCACGCTGGACTCGAAGGAGAGCCCACAAGGCAAACGGGGCCGCGGGAGTTCTATAAAATGTATCGACGAGCGTCCCTCTACCATTGTTAATTTGTCTGCGACGTGTTCATGTCCACCGAGCAAGGGACACACTTTTTTAAAAATAAGTTTGTCTTAACGTCCTGATGAGGCTGACATTTGGGTGCCTTATTTGCCCAGATTTAATGGGCTAGTGATTCTGATTGTAAATCACTAGATATCGAACCCGAGTTAAACAGTACGATAGAGATCTTTGAGGTTAACATTTTGGTCCAAATAGGGACCAGAAATATATAAATTGACCTTGTACCTGCCGCAAAACGTGTTTGAGCCTACAAAATATGTGATAACAGTAAGAGTAAACTGTTTGTTTTTTAATCAAAGAGCAAGCACACTTACAGATAGGGTTATTTTAATGCGCGAATGTAAATTACGAATTATTGCGTCTGCACAATGGTTAGTAGTCCTGACCGCAGTCGATATGCTAATGCGTCCGCTGCTCAATGGTTTGAGGTTTAGAATTATAAACATTCGGTCAACAACCGAACCCGTGTTCAACCTAAAAAAATGCCTTAAATCGAGACTTTAGCAGGGCCGGCTGATTATGAACAATGAACTGAAAATGACCATCTCTGCCGGTAATTTTACTTTGAATATAATACAAGCCCGAGGACTCTTTTTCGAACCCAAAAGAACAGCCGGATGAGGTTGGCGTCACTCCACCATAGTCAGTATTTCGTATTGTAAATGATATGCGTGAAATATCTACTTAAATAATGTAAACTCTTTTCACAGTGGACTGAACCACATACAAATAAGGAAGGCTATGAAGATCAAGTTAAGTTGAGCCATTAAAGTGGCAATGCTCTTTTAAGTTGCACCGACTTTTCTGGCTAGGCAGCATTACGCCAACGTGCCTGCGTCAGTCGACTAAAAATGGCATCAGAAGCAGACACGAAACACACCAGAATGTATTTTTCACGTCTTATTGAATTTTTCCATGGAAATGCTTGTTCAATGTTCATTAGGAAAGTATTGTTTTTGCAAGTAATTCGATTTGGCGCCATCTGTGTTGTATCATATTGCACAACGTCACCAGCGCATCCTTCCACAATGAAAAAGTAGAGAAGTCCCAAAATATCTCATTTTTTTCGAGATTGTCATCTGGAAACTGAAGCCTGCGTAGGTGGCACTGTTAACTATCTGTTCAACACCAAACCTCTACGGTAGGCTCCCATTTGCTGTGCCAGTCGATTGCCCAATTACGTCTTCTGATTTTTTTACTGAAGACCTTGTAGATCCGAACAACAACAGGGTAACATCCAATAGTTAGCTCTTAGAATGAGTCAGATCGTTATTTCAAGGCAGCATATATATATAAACTTTGAGCATCAGCAAACTAGACAGGAAACTGCAACACAGGCACATGATGCTTCGTTTTTTCTACCTGCTTGTCTTAATTCAACTGTCATACGGCTGCTTTAAATGGAACTGTAGGTCTCCTATTATTTTGTACTTGTTGCTTGCAATACTCAGAATAAGAACTGCCTGAAATACTGCACCTCATATTTCGTTTTTTAATCCATAGGCAAAATAAAAATATTGGCAGTTCTAAATGTCTATTAAGCACTTTAAAGCTTAATTATATCGCGGAATATTAATAAAATTAATTTCTGATTTTTACATACATGTAAAAACCCCGCCTCAACATGACACCATGCGTTTTCATGGACGGTTGATTTGCTGTCCAATATTTTTAAATGCGGCTTCGGTTAGAAAAGATCCCCGTAGATAAGCTGTAAAACTAACAGTAGCGTGGTTTAATCACAAAAAATTTCAGTGATACCGTGAGGCCGTCCTTTAAATGCGCTTCTAACGGGCGGGCTGCAAAAACACGATTCTGTAAGAAATGGCAAATGATTCAGTCAAACAATTTTTGGAGCTTTTACATATCCTAGCACATTCTACAGAAAACATGCACTGAGTTATTCTTGTGTCTATTTGGTAACATACAGCCTTTTTTTAGATTATTTTCTTTGCGAAAGCGTACATTTTATTTTACAAAATTCTGAAATATCGCACGATTTTGAACCCGACCAAAATTGACATCTGCCTTGAAGGTTTCTACACTATAAGTTGCATATATTTCCTGCAAACGAAATGGCTCTAAAAACATAATACTAAGAAGGTGCAACATAGTACTCGTTAAATTCTGCTATGGAAGTAGACCACGCTGTATACTTTAGAAGCAGGATTAATACATGGTCGGATATGATGCTGTATTGGTTGATATATCCCACTCTTAAAAAATCTCAGAATTACACATTCCTTTGGAAACTGAAATGCTTTTCGTGGAGTTAAAAAAATTGAAAAAGATGCAATGTACTGCCCAATAAGCATAAAGGTTTGTTTGTGTATACTTTCTGCAGAATGGGCTTTTATGTGTAGCAAATAGAAAAATAAATATAAAAATTCATCTTCCCTAAGTAGCCATTTTTACTCATTGTGGTTTTTGTAAGCCACCGAAAAGAAGGTCTTTAACCAACCGGCATTTCGATATGATGAAATTATACTGTGATTATGCTGCGCGACAGTTAGCTTTCCGGCCCGACTTAAGTAGCATATTATAATCAAAAACACATTTAGGAGTTTGGGTTAACATTTCATTAGCTAGCACACCAACCGCAGTATTCCCCTTCGTTTGCGTGCACTTATGGTCCTCGAAATATTTAGGTAGATTTCGATAAAATTTTGCTTGGCGTGCGGTGGATGATGTGCATCGGTGGTGTGTACTAGATTAAGCAAAAGTTTTTGTCGGTGTCTAATTTAGTTTCGTACATCGTTGCATCTCACAGTCCAATGCTTAGTTCTTACGCAGTCCACTCTGTGTGACTTGAGAGCAGGTAGAAAAATTCGTCTCTAAAATGTATTCATTGAGCGTGTGAAATGTTTTTTGGCTTTAGGATACCACTCGTTTAAGACTGCAGTACTGATGAATATGTCACATTTTCCGGGGTATTGCTTTGGAGAAGTATGCGAGGATAAGACGGCTGACAACAATGGGATTTTCAAATCAGGCCTTAGAGTAAAGTACTCGTTTGGACATAATCAGCTGTGAGTAAGACAACCCAGAGATCAACAAATTCATTAGTTCCTGCACGCTAAAATCGTGATTAGATGGCTAAACGCCAAAACAAATTTTCGCTGTTGTTATGCTGACGGACTGAGTATTAGAGGTGCATGCGCAGAGTGGAAAATTTATCTTGAGTGCACCAAAGGCAACACTGATAACTGGATATGTATCTGACCAAAAGAGTACAACCTGTCCAGGTATACTAGCGGTCACATAGTTGATCAGGATAATGACCAAACAGCACACCAGTTGATGACCTAATTAATAGGCGTCCCACCGTACTCGTGGAAAGCACATACCTAATTAAAACGCATGTCAAATAACCATATCATAACGTCACTACCAACAACAATTAGTTCGGCATTTTAGTAAAGTATTCTATATTATAAACAATAGCCAATGCATAAAAAGTTCAAAAAGTAGGTAAGGAGGAAAACTAATCATTCAAACAAATATATTAAATGATCAAAATTTTCTGTTTTCCTCGGCTTTCACTACTGTGTCGTTGGCTGCAGAGTTAAAATGACGGGGATCATATGGTTACCTTGTGCAATCTCGAATCAGCGGGTTTGACGATTATTATACACGGTAAACAGCACAATCACGATGTAATGAGCGAGCACGTGGTGTTAGTTGACAGACTGCAAACCGCTGATACATGGTAGCAGCGGCTCACGTTTTTCCCACTTTCCTGTAACTAAACAGATTTCGGGCTGTGTGAACATGCTAGCGTGCGCGCGGGCGGTGAAGATGGTTGTTTCTTTGCTAAGTAATGACCTCCTTGGCGACCAGCATAAGATTATAATTATTTGCTATTTTTATTTTTTCTCAAAGTATTTGGCGGAGAGAATAATGCAAATGACACCGCCATTACTACTGAAGCTTATGGCAACTCAAATTCACCCTCAAACACAACCAGTGCTCCACCTAAATCTGGTCCAGAGAACGAGACCAGCATGAGACCAAAGGCTGGTCATGGACTTCAGGAACAACAAAATGGACTTAACGGTCCAGGAGTTAATCTGTTTGTCAATAGCAATTCCACGGGTGAGTTCAAATTCCTACTTACGCAGACGCAAGGCATGAGCCAAGTATATACTTAAGTATTTTCCTTTAACTAAGTAGTTGTTAAGGATCATATTATTTAGTGAATTTTCCCAGGCCTAGTTCAACCTGCGCAAAGCTACAGGCGGGGGATCAACGGATACTAATCTTAAGTGCCATTTTGGCCAACATTTCCTCGGTTCCAGGGCATTTGAACGCATGTAAACAGATAATGACGGTTAATTTCAAAGGTTCTTTTGGCGAAGCAGTCTCTCAGCCAAAACATTCACATACTAATAGTCTAGTCGCCGTGGGATTAGTCGTTACTAAGCAACGCTCAGTAGGCAAATGAGGTCACCACAGACGGTGGATAAATTTACAGTGCGCGACCTAACTCATGAACTGTTGTCTGAAATTCTGAAATGTGTTTTCGATTAGGAAATATGACTTAGTCGCGGTTGTAATACTGATTATTTTATAGCATTTTCTTATAACATTTTGGACTTGGCTGGATGTCGGCTTTTAAATGCATATCTTTTCAATCTCCTGCAGAAAGCGTGCTCGGGAAAAAATGACTACTTAAGTAGCATGCATTTTTCCCATTAATTTTCGATGGTCTTGGAAATTCAAATATATTTTATAGAAATAACAAACAAAAATATGCTTTCTTTTAGTCAGTCAATAGAGAATTACGTCTTATTTATATTGTATACTTAAGAAGGAGCATAATTAGGTTTGAAAAAAGTTTTCTAATTGCCGAATAATTTGGAGCCTGATCATTCGTTGGATTAGCGCTTAGTGATTACATTCTACAAGGCGCATGCGTTCCGCGTAAAGAAAATCCCATATTTTTCTATGTCATTAAAGAGGTATCATACAGGGTCCATAAAATTTTGCAATGGATGCGGACCATGTTGTATATTTCATGAGTAGCAGTGGTAAACGTCCAGGTACGATGCTATGTGAATGGACATATCGCGGTCTTAAAAAGTCTCATAATTTAAAATCCGACATCCAGCAAAGTCCAAAATGTTATAAGATTAGGCTTTAAAATAATCAGTATTACAACCGCGACCAAGTAATCCTTCCTAATCGAATACGCATTTTAGAATTTCAACCAACATTTCATGAGATAGGTCACGCACTGTACCATGCTTGATAGCACAGCCCTTTTAATTTATCAACTCTTCATTTTTGCTTCTAGGCAAGACAACCTCCAGCTCCACGCGCTCTCAATTCGGATTGGAGTTGTTCGCTTTTTCACTCGCGGTCGTGCGCTCTTTATTTTAAGTGAATGAACTCCGACCAAATGTTTATATGCTGCGCTTATTATTTGCTCCCGAACGTTCATACTTTACAGATACCAGTGCTGTTTTCATTGTCTTATTTGATTATTTGCTGCAAAATACTGTCCGCTTTTAAAGTCATCGGACGAATCAAATAAAGAAATTTATGGTTTCTTGGTGACCTTCTGCTTTCTTTCTGCTAACCTTCTCAGCGCTTGGAATCACAGCTCAAACGCTGAGAGAAGTTCTAGACGTTCTCCCATATTTTTGCACAATTTGTATTGGTCCAAATGTGCAAACCTAGGCGCGTCAGTGGGATTTGAACCCATGACAGCAGGGGAAATGCTTAAGTACATCTAACGCTCGGACTATCTGAGCAGGAGTCTCCACTGGAAGATGTGCGTTTAATCATATCTGGGTCACATTGCATGCCGAGGATACCGCCACGTCTGAAATCCCCCAAATCCGATACAGTAAGCTGAATGACCAAGCTGGGCTTCCTAAGCAATCCACCTAGAATCCATCAGATGCCTAAGAGGCTCATGCAAGCAATGGATTTTTTGACAGATTTTAAATGAGTCATATTGACCCGAATGTTAAAAAGACGTCGCCGCGTGTTTCACAGTTGGTTCAATAAAAAACTATAAGTTAAAATTGGAACATAAGGCACTCAAATCAGAAAACGTGATTCGTGAACTTAAGGTGTTTTTTATAAAAGACGTAAGAAATTAATGTCCCGTTCTATCTGAAAGTTCAACGAACCTAATAAAGCCTTCCTAACAGTGCGCTTATAGAATATCAGTCTAGAGACGAAAGTCTTGACTAGTTTTCCGACCACATCCTGGGAAATGTATTTGAAGTCGCTTCAAATTTACTCAATTTGTGCTATTTGTTGTCAGCTAGCTTCTGGATAACGAAATGCGGATTTATATTTTTTAGTTAGTTTTCCACTTTTAAATGTTTATCGCATCTCTGGGCAAGACGCTGTTGCAGCGTTTTCGAAACCTTTGACTATGTGCAAAGTTCAGACGCGATTTGGAATAGAGTTGAATGTCTCTTTCTCAGCATCGACCATGAAACAGCCTAACTACGAGACGGCATCAGAGTGGATTCGTAAATTTGACATTCATAGGCGAACAAAATTATACCAGTATTACTAATTTGGCCGAAAGCACGATTTTTATATGAAGCAGAATATGGTGTAAAGAACGTGAGATGGTTAGGTTCCATTGCGGCTGATTACCTAATGGTTCATTATGATTTTCAGTAGATGTTTCATCTGGTATGCGCATTGCTCACGTTGTTTCAATAAAAGGCGTAATGTTATGGTAGGCTCGTAAACAAGAAAACGTGAACTATTACGATGACACACTGTTTTCAAGCAAACACCTTGCGCGTTTTTCTGGCTACACAACCGAAACGCAAGGTGGGACGTTAATAGCCCTTATGTTTAAGACTATAAGGTAACGATGAATAGACGTTCTCCAAAATTTAAAGCCGACCACAACGGCCAGTAAAAAGGTTTCTTTCGTCCGCACCTATCAGGCTGGTTTTTTTACATGACACACAACGATACCGAACTAAAAATATACCCGGTCGACGCCAGTTGCACTGCGATACTCCGACGCAGAATCCTTCCTGCACCGCCAACACTACCCTCTGCAAATTCCAGTCACTTTCAATTCAATCAGTTTAAGAGATATCAGCTTTTTTAACGGGGATCCTCCAGAAACTCTGATGTCCGACATCATCTTACCTTCACTATTCTGAAGAGCCAGTAATCAGAACTTCCCTTCGTTTTTTAATGACCGGTACTCCTGGTCATGTAGATAATATAAGATTGGTGCCTGAGATACCTTTTACATAGTCTCTATGCTCACTTTGCTACGTTTATCATGTTTTCGTAGTAATACATGCGATCTGCATAACACAGTTAGAAACGTGGAAAATAGCGAATGGACATATGGGAGGCCTTTTGTGAAGTTTTCCGCTTGAAGTTCCAAAACATGAATGGGACTGTTTTGCGCATATCCATTATTCTGCCCCAGTTGGGCAGTAATTATATTTGGCTGCCAAAACACATTACGGGTTTCAGTGGCAGTTTATTTGAGGGAAATATAGGCGTTGAACCTTTGAACTCTGTATTTGTTACAAGGAAGCAAACTGTATCAAAAATTGGAAAGGAAAACATCAAACACCTACAGAGTTTCTTCAGATTGACAAAGTTTCCCAAAGCAGACAGACAAATGAATCGTTTCAAGGGTCAAAAACATGAACGTTACTAAATATGCTGTACAATTAGTCTGTCTAGTGATAGTTGGCGCTGCCTCAGTTTCTGAGGGAGACGAATTAAATGCCAACACAATTCAACAGACGGGATAATAATAAAAAACAAACGGTACTGAAATACAGGCAGTAAAATGTCAAAACTAAAAAACTGTTCAAAAGAAATGCCAGGCGATAACGGTCAGGTGGCATTATGTCGTTTGGTGGTGCACTGGTCCAACTTGCGCTTAAAAGCCTCGACGAAGGTGGACGTGACGATATGTGCAGGCAGAGTATTCCAAGCCTCGATCACTCTGTTTCAAAAGAAGAACTTCCGAATGTCCAGTTTGGCGCCAGTCACATAAAGATTAAGGATATGGCCTCGAAGGTTCGTTGCGGTCGCTAAATCAAAGAAATCAGCAAGTAAGAGACAGCAGTCCTGACTGCGCATTATACGGTATGTTTGTATACGGTCGCCTCTTAGCTGTCTGTAACTCAGTGGAAAAAGCCCGAGATTGGACACTCGTGTTTCATAGGGTGGCGAACTTTGTGCACTTACGGGTTTGGTTGTCTACCTTTGAACTTCCTCAATGATTCTGAGATCTTTAGAGATCCAGGGTTTCCACACCTGAATAACGAACTCTAGCTCCGACCGTACACATTTTCAAATGATTTTAACGAAGCAGTCCTCATCGAAGGTAGAGAGAAAGCTCGCTTTCCAAGATAAAGGACCGACATCGCGGACTTGGCTACCTTGGAACAGTGGAGCGATGGTTTTAGAGAAGCCGTTACCCACACCCCCAAGTATTTCTGGGCGTCTACCTCCTGCAATGATATGCCGTTTTGGTGGTAAACCCTCCGGTTCAGAGATCGGGTCCTGCCGACTCGCAGGACATTACACTTAGTCACATTAAACGGCAACAGCCAGTCCTGTGACCATTTCTCGAGTCGGGTCAGGTCTGCCTGCAAGCGCTCTTCGTCAAATCCAGTTCGGATGACGCTCCAAAGTTTAACATCATCAGCGTACATGGAGACATCAAAATTCAGTTCACAGATGCAGTTGTTGACGTATACTATGAATAGGGTATGGCCAAGGACGGAGCCTTGAGGAACACCGCTTTCAACCGCTACTTCCACCGACTTCCTGTCACCGACGTGGACAATTTAAGAATTACCGAGCAACAAGCTTTGAATCCACCTCAGAATATTACCCCTTATGCCTATTCGGCTTGATTTGTACAGGAGACACTGATGTGGTACATTGGCGAATGCTTTCTTAAAGTCCACACAGACTCCGTGCACCTCATTGCCGCCAGCGACTGCCCGGGTCCAGCCATCTAAACCATAAAGTAGGATTGTCCCGCATGATCTGCCTCTACGAAATCCGTGATGGACATCACAGTGCCAATTATGTTCTTCTAGGAAGTGCATTATTTCTCGCTTAAATATTTTTTCCATTATTTTGTAGCAAATTGAATTAAGGCTGATGCGCTTGTAGTTTTTTGCTAAGACTTTGCTGCCGCCTTTATATATTGGCGTGATCCGCGGGGATTTTCGATCGGCGTGCAAATAGCCACCTTAAAAGTAGGCTTGAAAGACCATGGAAGGCGGTTTAGATAGTTGTCCAGCAAGCTTCTTCAACAATTTGGGCGGTATGTCATCCGGTCCAGGTGATTTACGCTCATTCTGCGTCAACAGTTCTTTGCGAACAATAGCTTTGGCGAATAAATGCGTGCTCAATTGTTGGCTCGTCCGCTGTGTCGCAGTCGGGAGGCAGGAATGCATTTATCTTCGTAAAGATGGACTTAAAAATTGTGAAAGATGCACTGCCTTTTCTCCGTCTTCTTTGAGTCATAGTTCGTCACTTGTTTTCAATAACGGGATTGGGTATCTCTTTCGTGTACTTCTTCTTATGTAACCATAGAATAACTTCGGATTTTCTGCGGCTCGATCCAGTAGGTCCTTCTCGAAAGTACGCCGCGTCCCGGGGATTGGCCTTCTAACTAAGTTCCTCTGTGCTTCGTATGCATTTATCGACAAATAGCTCCTATCCGAGAGGAATTTCTCCATAACCTTCGCTTTTTATTCACTTCTTTTTTAAAGCTTTTGTTAGCCACAGGGGTCTCCTGTTCAGTTTTTACCGTGAAATAGGACAGTAGTCTCTGATAGCAACGTGAAATAACTTAATAAACCAGTCCTAACCTTTCATTTTGTCACCGCAAAAAAGTTGATTCCCAGTGTATGGTGTTTAGTTCAGCTTTCGTTTGGACAACGTCACCGCGCCAAAAGTTCCTTCTAACCCCGGTGACTTATTCGGGTACAGAAAAATGGAGTACTCCCACAACAGTACGACGTGGTCGCTTCGACTTAGGGGAGGTAGACTTTGCACCTCATCAATGCTGTCCAGTGACTGCGAAAGGAGCAGATCCAGACAGTCTGACTGTTGCCCTTCGCGTACCCTCATCGGAAAAAAGATGTGTTGAGTGAGAAATAACTTGAGGGTCATGCCCAGCAAACGTCGGTGGAAAGCATGGTCTTGACCATATGGATAAGCTGAACTCCAGATGGTAAGAGCTGCGTTGGAGTCCCCCACTATAAAGACGTTGAACCGGATAGAGAATCTCTCCAGTTCCTTAATCAGACTGGCGTCCGCCGTGGGATCATTTCTCGGCGGCCGTTTGACCGTCAGGACGTCGAGGGTCGGTGAACCCGGTGCGTTTATAGTTAGCCAAATTGCCT